CTTTAAAAGTGCTTTGATAAATTGTATCAATTGCCTGTGTGTGGGAAAAAGGAGTTTAGGTGAAGCAGGAAGGGACATGCTTTGAGGTGACTGACTGAGACTGATTTCTGAGTCAAATTCTGTGTTCCACCTCTGGGAGGACAGTAGAGAATTCTTGGCTTGTTGTGATCTGTGGGCTGAAGGAGCTTTTGGCATAACCTTGCCAGGGAAATGTTCCTCTGTGTAATGGAAGACAGTGCTGGCTGCCTTTGCTTTTGGTGGCCACAGCAATGTGAAACCTGGTGCCAGCACGTTTGGCCAGCGCTGCTGCTAAAGGGATGGCCTTCCCAAGCAGCAGGAGAGTCACAGGTTAGGGTCAGGGATGCTATTTCCTGACTGAGACCCTCAGTTTTGAGGGGAGTACACAAGGTGTTCTGGAGTAATTTTAGTTTTAACCTAAGTAAAACCTATCTGTGACTTGAATTGCCTTCCAGAGGTTCCTGTTCATCTCTGATCATTGAGGAGAATGCAGCGGCAGTACCTTGGATCATATATATAATTTAAATATTCAAAATTTAATGTGATTGAAGGCAATATCTCATTGTTTAATAGATGAATAAATTGATGAATTTTTCTACTATTGCTGCTATAAAATGGATACTTCCCACTACAGCTCATAAAATTACATTTTGAAATCATGTAAGTTTTGACCTCTGGCACGCACTCTGAGGCAATGACTTCCACAGTGTGACAATCTTTTGGGAGTAAAGATATCTCTTTTGCCCCTCTTATGCCTTCTATATTAAAGACAGACAACTATTTCCCATCTCCCTATAGTTCAGTATCGTTCTCTTTTATTTTTCGGATTTTTGTCATGGTCCTTCCTTTCATATCTTGTTTTGTCTAGAGACAAATGTCTCTAATTGGGTATTACACCTCCAATAATGCTGTTCAGATTCTATCACTTTGCAGAAAAATGGTTTGTTTTATGATTTTCCCTAACACTGCCTTTTTTTTTTTTCCTTATGAAACAACTGATGTTTTTTATAGGACTGTGTATTATAAACCTAAGATCTTCCTTCTGAATGGAATGAATCGCTTTAGATCTATTTTTATATCTATATACACTTTTAAAAAAGGCTTTCTTTATTCCATTCATTAGTTTTGAATTCTGGGAAAGATTTGGACTTTGGAAGTCCTTAGTCTGATTCTGCTTCTAGTGGGGAAGGCTTTCAGCACTGACAACACATCAGAGAGAATATAATTCCAAACAGTCTAAAATCTGAAAATATCAGGGCTTGTCAAGGGACAGAAAGCTAAATGCTTGGAAAACCTCTTCTTTGTTTCTAGTTTTGTCAAAATAAAAAGATGCATTCCTTAACCCAGCTCCCACTTGCAGCAGTGAGCGATGCTTTCTAGATCCAAGCCTTACTTCTGAGATTTATTGTAGGCAGGTCTGGATATAAACTGTTCCCTAAATTTCTGAAATCTTGGTAAGAGTATTATGTGTATACAGAAACTTAGAAGATGCTAACCATGCTATCCAGAACTGTCTCCATGGCAGGGACAATTACTTTTAGTTGCTTTAATTTTATGCTCAGGGGTCTTTTGCAGCAGGGAGGATCCTTTTGTAGTTGTGTATTCCACAGCCCAATCACAACAGTAATTGAACAAAACAGAAACCACTTGGGAGGGGCTGTGGTTGCTCCCAAAACTTAAAAGGATTACCTGTGATCATCTTCAAGCATCTGACAACTTCATGGGTAAAACTTTGAAACATTATTTAGTGTTTTGCCCTTATCCTTAAAGTGTTATTGGTATAAAGATGAGAAAATCCCAGCACACGCCTTCAGTCATCATTCCTCCTAGGTGGCATCTATTTGGTAGGTGAAAGGGCTGTAGTTTAGGGCAGGGTGTGAAGCAGATATTTAAAATACTATTTAATATACTGTCAGTATTTTTTCTCCCTTGCCCTCTCCCCCACATTATCTGCCTTCCCTTAAACTGCTGTTGTGTTCATTAATCCCTGCTGTGAAAGTGTATCCATAAACTAAATTTGCATTTGGTCCTCAGAGCAGGAAGAAGGTGAAGAAAAGCAAAACTGTAATTTTAGCTTAGTAGTACTAAAACAAAAATATCTCTGGTAAGAGAGAATACCAACAGTGTGAGAATTGGAACGCTGCTGTAATTGAAAAGAATGCTGAACTAATGTTTGTATTAGAATAAATTACTGGGAGAAAAGAAGAGAAAATATGAAAGTATGAAAACATATCTAGACCGCAGAGTCCAAATGGATTAAATTTTAAGGGAACATAGAAGCAAACAGGAAACTTCCTGTTATTCTCAGATTGATAATAGAAATAAGAAAGTGATATTAGCGAGAAATGTGTTTCCCTGTTATCTCTGACTCTTTTCTCATATTACCCTGAAAAAACACGATAGTGGAAATTAAAAATATCAAAAAACCCTCCACCCCTGCCCCAAAGCCAAAACTCTACCTGCTGGCCATCTTTATAACTCTTGTCAACCCTGAGGCACCTTCAAATACTGAACAATATCTAGTCAGGAGATAAATTCTGACTTTATATTGCTTAATCATCTTATCTGCTTATTATTTTGTAGTTCTGTCTGTGATTTTCGTCCCACCTGTCACCTACACTCTCTCTTACTGTCTCCTCCCCATAATGCTGTTACGACATAATCTTTGCCTGGTACTTCTAAGGCCTTCCATAAAATAAAATTAGGTCATCAATTGTTTAAGTATATTCTGACAGCAGTGATCGAAAATATGTTAAAGCTGTAATAAGTTGGTTAAAAAATGGAGAAATGTGGAGAAGCCAAAAAGTAGCCACAGCATATATTATAGCATATTATTCTTGAAGAATTACAACCTGTTAGTGTATTTCTAGCTGTGTAGTAAGACTGAAAATTAAATACTCCATCTACTCAGATTTTCCTGCTTGGTGGTAGCAAGACCAACTGACATTATGGAAGTGGTATTTTAATGCTACTTTGAGAGATGAGGTAATACTTTGATCACTGAAAGGGGTTCTTTTTTTTTTTGTTTGTTTTTTTTTTTTTTTTTTTTTTTTTTTTTTTTTTTTTTTTTTTTTTTTTTTTTTTTTTTTTTTTTTTTTTTTGTTTGTTTGTTTGTTTAAGGATTTTTGTCCTGATTTACAGAAAAAACTGAAGAGCTCTCATTTGTGTGAGTTTTATGTGTTTTATCCAGGAAAAAACGTAGAGTGCACAATTTATTTTATCTTTCTCTAGTTCAGTGACACTGATCCAAATTCTATTGAAGTTTAGGAACTTTCTAGCTGTTGCTGTGGGTTTTTGCATCAGATTAGAAATGGATATCTTTTTGACTTTCATGCAAGTGAACTACTTGTGTCTCAGATCATAAATCTAATCACCAGTGGAAGTCAGACAGAAGAATGTCCCTTTTTTTAGGCATTGAGCTGCACTCTTTCTTCTTGTGTGCAAGTAATGACTGAGTTTTCCAAAGGTAAGGGCTGATGATTCTCCCCTTCCCCATTTTTTCCTCAGGGAGCAGAAAATTCTTCTGCTTCCCTAAGGTTGCCCAGCATGGTGTCCTCCCAAGAAGGCAAGAATAAGAAGGATGTTTAGGACACTTCTTTCTCACATTGCCTCCTTTAATAAGTTCTGTGCTTCATTTTCCTTTTACTGGGTTTACTCCAAATGTTTCATCATGAGCTCGGAGTTTTACTTAAATCTTACATCTGCTAAATTAATCTCTGTGTGGCAGACTGCTACAATGATTAATATTTCCCATCCTGGTGTGGACAGTTGGTGCAAAACACAGGCTAATATTTTCAAAACTGTACATTTCTAACTAAAATCCCATTAGTCATCTTTTCTAGACGAAAATGAAGGGTCATGTCTACACTCAAAGTGAGGCAGACTTTAAAAGGCAGACAGAAAATATCATGTAAAAGCTCACAGCGTTTTCAGAGCATGCATTGATATATGTAGCTCTAAAATATTCCAGGGTGTGGGTTTTTTTCTTCTCTGGAAGAAAACACAGATGTTTGAACTCCAGCATTACCCACAGCACTAGTCATGTTTTCCAGGTTGGCTTCCTAGATGAACTGTGGCTTCAAGTCTAATATCTCTGGGATTCCTCTTTAACTACATCAACATCTGGCACAGGGATTTTATACAGTTTTGTGATTACTTTCCCCATTTAAAACACATACACCATGAAAAATATTACTGGGTGGTGATGTGTTATCACACAAAGGAAAGATGGTCGTGGCTGCAAAACAACCACCTTTGCCTTCATGGTTAGACAGGAGATTTTAGTCCTGATTGGTTAGAGACCCTGGTGATAACGTTGATTTAATTTTATTTTTCTTGTATCGGAATAAGAACCTTCATCCAGCAGTGATCAGTGATAAGACAGGCATCTGAAGCAAGCAGAGGGAGCAGCATGTGAAGCAATGCAGGCACCAAGAAGCTTCTCAAGCAAAACTGGGTGACCTTTAGCATGGCTGCTGTGGCCTAGCCCTCCCTTTAGCAACACCAGAAAAATGCTACTGAGAGCAGAAGGTTTCAATCAAGGAAATGAAAGTGAATAATGGTTCTTATTCATTCTAATTCAGGATGCTAAAACAGGTAAATAACCCATATATTGCACAAAATTGAGTTTTAAGCATGAAAATAATGTCCATGATGAATTTGGGGCAGAGAGGAGCGTGACAAAATCAGCTGACAGGAGGTGACTTCTGCAGAATAATCACTTTTGATCTGTACTTCTGTACAGATCAGACATTGTAGGGTTTTGTCTTCAGCCTTAGATTGCTCAGAAACCAAAAATGTTTGAGGTTTTTTTATTTCCACTGCCTTTCTCAATTCCTCATATAAAACTGTACTTTTTATACATTTAATTTTACATGGGGCCTGTGTTTTATAATGTCACATAGGGTAATTTCTACTTGTTCCACCCAGTTTATGTCAGAGTTTCTTTAGTGTGCAGTTCCATGTACTACATATATAAATAGTAAAACTGCCAGAGCTATATTCCTCTATTATTAAAGTGTCTGGGATGCACACAAATTCATCTTGCAAGGGCCTAAAGACGAGGGATTCTGCAGGACTTACTCAGAAACAGTTTGAACCTGGTAACTCCTAGGGATACTGGTAAAGAAAACATTCCTCTGGCAGGCACACTAAGGAGCTAAGGTTTTGTGGTTTAGTTTAATTGCATTCAATATATTTTGTAATTAAGTTACATAATGTAGAGCCTTAGAGGTAGATTTAAAAATTTGATTAAAAATCAATATTATAGAAAATAGAATTGTAAATTCCTGCATTTAACCTAGTCAAAGCTGATCCATAACACAAAGCAGAAAGGCTGGTTTATTATATCATCAAATTTTGTCTTCTTTATTTTTCATGTCTCTCTTTTTCACTAACCTGGAAACAGTAATTGGAGTTCACCACTTTTGTGGAATGAGGGGAGGGAAGGTAAATTTTGTGTGCAGCTCTAAATGTAACCCTACCTCTGCTCCTTCCTGGCAAAGAATAACCACTATCCTGTAATTCAGAGAGGGATGTCCAAAGCTGTCTTCAAAACACTCAGTCATAAAATTTGAGCCCCAAATGCTAAACCTTGATCTTTTCTTTGATAAGAATGCGTGTGAGTAAGTTGGTTGATAAACACATTCATTGCTCCCACTGGCAGTGATGCCATCGTAGAGTCTTGATTTCTCAGAGCTCCTGCAGTACTGCAGCCACTCCTGCTTGCTGGGGTTTCTGTACTCGTCTCTCTAGTTGCAATCATGGCAAAGTCTCTTGTCTTGTGCTCCCCTGAGAGTGCCTCTTATTGGGATTCTTGGAATATAAATCAGTGACTGTTTCAGCCCATGTTCTAGCGAGTGGACGACCTCTGTATCCCTTTGGATAGCTCTGGAGTGACTCACTAGTCTTGTCCAATCCTGGCTTTCCTAACATTTTTCCACTCACTTCAGTTGCAGAACAGTGGGGGTTTTTTTCTGCACTTCGGCTCTAAGAACATGAAGGAACTCTGTTTAGCATAAAATTAAGTTAGCTGACTAAATCTGTGCCTCTTGCTGGGCTCTTTGTGTGGCAGATTTCCTTTTCCCTGCTATGGTCTCTGTTGGACAAAGTCGGGCTCTGAGCAGGAGCAAACCGAGCGGGCATCTCCCGGCTGTCCCTTGGCTCTGTGCAGTGTGACCTTTGTCTGGCACTCCACACTTGCTGCCATGCTCAGCCTGATTTAATTTACCAGTTTGCACAGATTTCATTTTGGAAAGGAAATCTGGCCATGCTGACATGTGGAACTAAGCGATGACAAAATCTCTGTGTTACACCGTGGGAAGACAGTGGTTTGTTTGCAGCCAGGACATCAGATTTAAGGTACAGAAAACTACCAGGAACACAGTAGATGTATGATTGAGAGTTAGTTTTCATACAGTCTTACCAATAGTAACCCTTAATTGAAGACCAGTCACATAAAATAATGTTTCGTTTTGTGCATTACAGCAGCGCAGTTAATGAGAGTAACCAAAGCTGTGGCACTGAGAACTGGAACGAAGAGTTTTCTCCCCACAGGGAATGTTCTTTCCTTGGGGCCTGTGAGTCCATCCCTGCCAGATTTCTGCCACTAGGAAGCCGTGGCTTTCAGGATTGGCTCCCTGCAGTTTGGGGAGGTAATGGATTTCAGTAACATGCTTTTAGAAGTCAGCTTTGCCCAGCCCACCTGGTATCAGGTTTCTCTTCAGAGGTTCTGCAAAATGAATCTCAACTTACACCACCTTGTAAGTTACTCTAACAAGAACATGATTCCTTGTAAAAAGTAAAACTGACTACTTCTGTATTTCACAAGTTATGAAAATTTATAATTTTATTTGTATTTTTTCTAATTTTTGTAATTTATCCTAACTTCCATACTTTGGTAGGAATATTTTTATAAGCAGATTTGATCAACCTGGCAAGAAAGAACTGTTTCGACAAAAGACCAGATCTGAGGGTGTTTTTATTCTGAAGGAGAAACTGTATGCAGTAAGTAGCAGAAATATTGTGTGATTCTTATTTTGTTCTTAAAATATTTAAGACCTCACCAGATTGTGCAAAAGAAATGCTTTTATAAAGGCTGAGTTACTTATGCTTGACATTACCACCTTTTGGAATGGCTAGAACTGAATTTCTGTAAAGGGTTACCCACCTCACATGGTTAAAAGTAATTGGCTGGTTTTTTTTTCTTTTTCCAGTTAAATACTTTAACACATTTAACAAATTATTGCTCTATAACTTCACTGAGCTGAATCCAAGGGCACTGATGCCTTTCTGTATTTATGGCACCTACTCCATTCATCTGCCTTTCACTTCCAGATGGTGGATGAAAGAGAAGAGTCACTGATCTGGAGCTCTATTAAACAAGAACAGCTCTCAAAGGTGCTTAAAAATAAAGATCTGAACATTATATTACAACTAAAAAGCTGCATTTCATTATCACAGTCACCACTGAATTTCATGTGTTCCACTATCAAACGAGGCTTTCTGTGCTAAATCCCCCCTTTTAAAATTTGTCCTTTTTTTAAACACTAGAGATTACTTGAGAGGTTTTTTTCCTAACAGGGTAATTTCTTAGCAAACTTATGCTTGAATGTTGTGTCTTCTTAAAAATAACTAACAATGCTAAGAAAAGAAAGCTTTACAAAGATACAGCAACCCATTATAGCACAATGTTGATTGCAAAGGTGTCTTTACATTTCTGTGATTGTTTTGTGCAGTAGCCAAGAAATGGATGTTCACTTGTTAACAAAAACAAATCTTAATGGCCCCTATGAATCATCCAGGTTGTTAAGAGGTTATTTCACAAACCAGGTGGGAGTAAGTAGAGTTGAAAAGGTGGGCCAGGCTCTACTGGAGCTCTTCCCCAAGCAGCTGGAAGGAGGAACTTTCTGCAGGAGCTGGAGGTTCACGGTAGGTGAATTGTAGCCTTCACAAAAAGCTTGAGGGGTTAATCCTTGAACGTGCTGTCTGTGACCTGGATTTCCAAATTTACAAAGTGTAAAAGAAAAGAACAAAATGAAGTGACTGCCAAGTAGAGGCGTTGATCTCTGGTGTTACTGAGAAGGAATTAAACTAGCTTTGTTGCTGAAGTCCTTTGTTTGCCTTAAAATCAACAACAACAACAAAAACCCAAGACCCCCAAAGAAATCAAAATCCAACACCTGAACGTTAACCAAAGTTTTGTGACCTTCACAGAGTTTATTTGGAACAGAATTGGAGTCTGCCCTTTCAAACCATATCTGCATAGATTTTCTAGAAAGAAGAAATAGATTGATAGATATTAACTGGAGTGGTAACAGAAATCGCTAAAACCTTTCATTTTATCTTATTTGAAATGACCATTAAGAGCTTTTTTGCAAGATTCTATAGTTTTTGTGGGATTTCTAATTATACATTAGTACTGGACCACGTGGTAAAAAATTACCAAATCCTCAAGAGGATACCAGAAATCTAGAGGAATGTTGGTGGTGTTGCCATCAACAAGTCAAGATGTTATAATTGAACATTTTAGTTCTGGTTTCATGTATCTTTGTTTTGAACTAACAAAAGGTTAGAAATGGGCAGCTCTTGAGATCTCCTGTTTGCTGAACTTTTAAGCTTATCTTTGTAGAGCAGCAGTGAAAGTCCAAGGGAAATGTCAGCTATGGTTTTGGATGTTTTTTATCAGTAACTTATCTTTCTAATCAAGGAGGACTAAAACTTTAAGGATTTAAATGTAAGAAAGGAAAAAGAAAGAATGAGAACTTGAATTGTGGAATCGGCTTTCCTCCTCCTCTGTGTGAGTGGATGTAATTGGCTGTTTGTGAAAAGGTAGTGATCATAATAGCATTGAGACTTTAATTTTCAAGGTTATGGAGTCATAAAAGAATAAGCTTTCTTGTGGTAACAAAAAAATTCCATTGTGACTTATTTAATTCCAAAGATATCTCCAAATATTTCCCCCCCGTCTTCCCCACGGTAGTCAGCTCTGACCCAGAGATACTAATCCAGCTGCTCTGGTACTGTGGGATTATACAGCACAACAGATATTAGCCATAGAGAGAAAATATAAGTTTGCTTCCTTACCTTGCATTAAAAACTCCTTGGAGATGTCAGTTATTGCTGTTTAACACAGTGGTTTGACAGCATGGACGTGTCCAACAAGGACTTGATTAGACAGGCTTTCTCTTTGCATCTCTAAGGGCTTGATAAATCTTTGAGGGGGTTCGTTTTTAGTTGTTTTTCCATTGGTGGTTTTCAAAACAGGCTCTTGCAGGCCAGCTCCTGAAGCCTGTGAATCAGGGATGACACATGAGGCCCACAGGTAAATTCACTGTGCCTTTGGGGCTGGTCCATCAGTCAGTGTTTAAAAAGAACACTACAGAATCAGGGGTAAAAACTACAAAATCAATAACTAGTACAAGTTTTTTTTCTTTGGATGTGCCAGCACTGACCAGTTTTTGAAAGGGTGATCTAAACCACCTCTTTGAGCTTCTACATGCAGGCCTGTGTGGTGTGGCTGAACTGCATTTACCCAGCATAAGTAATTTTACAGGTGGATTATTCCAAAACAAAATGACAAACCTGGTTTTTTTAGAGTATTGTAAGTTATAAAGATACAGTTGGACATTTTATATGAGCAGCATCTAAGAATGGTAGGGTTTTATTAATTCTGAAAGCAGTAAAAGCTTGCACAAATTGTGTGTGTTAGCCTTTGAAGTCTGTTTTCTTAACATCTTGAATTCTAGCTTCCTGGCTTTGTGACAGAGATGTTCTCTTGAATGATTTAAGAATGGTGGCAACCACGCTTGAGCCCAGCTGCTTTAGCAAGTCCTAGTTTTGGTATATGGTCCTTATGGCTTCCACAAAAAAAAAACCATAATTCAAAATTGGTCAGAATGAAAGAGCCTTGTTTATAACATCACTCCTAGTAACGTGAGTGCTTACAACTTCTGCTGCTAGAAAATGTGCAGGGTTAGAACTGTAGGATTTTGTTCT